AGGTGCCACAAGTACTCCTGTTCTTTTTGCGGATACAGACTAACACGGCTGCTACTCTGAAATCTATCCATAAGTTATAATGAATGGAGATATCCCATCTCCTAGAACTGGAAGGGATTTGAGTCATTGAGTCCAGCCCCCTGCCTTCACTAGCAGGACCAAGTACTGATTTTGCCCCAGATCCCTAAGTGGCCCCCTCAAGGACTGAACTCACAACCCTGGGTTTAGCAGACCAATGCTCAAACCACTGAGCTATCCCCCCCCATAAAGGTGGCAAACAGTTTGAGGCAGACAGACGTTGCCATTGGATACGGCCTAGAGTCCCCCTCAGACAGCCCGTCAGATGGGAGATACCACTTAGGCCAGCCGCGAGCCGGACTGGAACCTTCCACTCCCCCCCGCTCGCGAACTCGCCAGACGGTGCTGCTGGCCCTTTAATGATCCTCCCCCCCACCTCCGGCCGGGCGGGGCGGGGCGAGGCGGGCGCCGCTGGCCAATGGGAGCGGCCCTTACTGGCAGGTGGGGCCGGGCTGGGGCTGAGGGAAGCGGAGCGGCGGCGGCCGCCCCCTTCTCGGCGGCGGAGGGAGCAGCCATGGCCCAGGCGGCGGCGGTGGCGGGGAGGAAGCGGCCGCGGCCCCGAGCGCAGCCCCAAGGAGCGAGGCCCCGCTGAGAGCGGGGCCCGGAGACCCGGACACCGACCCGCCCGGCCAGGGACCGACCCGCCCCCCCCCCCGCCGAGACCGGCCCCGCCCCCCCCCCCCCCCGCCCCGCCGGCCCCCCCCCCCCCCCCCCCCCCCGGCCGCGCTCGGCCCCCGCCCGACGCCCCCCCGGCGGGCTCCTCCTGCGGGCGCGGAGCCGCCCCAAGCTGGAGAGCCGGGGCCCGGCGGCGGTGCTGGGAGTCGGGTACCAGCCCCCGGCGCCCCCCGCCGCCGGGGCCCCGCTGACCCCGCACAAGAGGATGAAGAAGCGCAAGGAGCTCAACGCGCTCATCGGCCTGGCCGGGGACGGCCGCAGGAAGAAGCTGCCCAAGAAGGGGTCGGGCCACCGGCTGCTGCGCACCGAGCCGCCCGCCTCCGACTCCGAGTCCAGCTCCGAGGGCGACGAGGACGAGTTCGGGACGCCGGGCACCCGCTCCCGCTTCGCCAAGTGAGCCCCGGCGGGGTCAGGGGGCGCGGGGCCTGGGGGGGGGTCTGGGTTATATTTAGGGGACGTGGGAGTCCGGGGGGAGCTGGGGGAGGGAAGTGGGGCGGGGCTGGGGGAAGTTGGGTTGGGGGACTAGAGGGAACGGGTGGGGTTGGGGGGAGTTGGGGCATTAGAGGGGAGGGGCTGGGGGGTGCTGGGGGGGTTGGGGCATTAGAGGGGAGGGGCTGGGGGGTGCTGGGGCATTAGAGGGGAGGGGCTGGGGGCTGGGGGCATTGGAGGGGGCTGGGGGGGAGCTGGTTGTATGTTGGAAGGGAGCGGGGATGAGTTGGAATGTGGTTGGAGCAGAGGATTAGGTGGTGTGATAAGGGGGGCTGAGGGTTGTTTTAGATGTTATACATTGGGTGTGGCAGGGGCTTAAGAAGGTTAAGAGCGGGGGGGGGGCATAGAGTGAATGTAATAAGGGAGAGGAGCTGGAAGTACAATTCGGGAGGGGATCAAGGTTATGCGCTACACGGTAGGATAGGTGTAATAGGGGAGCTAGTTCTGGGCTGTGAGGGTAACTTGGTCTTATCACCTGGTTTCGTCAGAACCCTATGGGGAATAACCCTTGAAGATAAAAAGGGGTTTATGCACTCTTTTATTGAGACATTATTGTTGCCCTATTGAGTTTGTTGTTCCCTGTTTCCCATTTGTCCTACCCCTTACCTGATCCTAGTTACTTCCGTCTTTGTTCTACTTGGCATCAGTGATTTCAGTTGCTCATTTTCTACCCTTAATAAACCTGGCTCCTGGACTCCTAGTTTCAACCCCTTCTTTACTTCTCTCTTCTCAAACACACAAAATAAGGCTTAATTGTCAGCAGCATGGTTCCCTTGTGGTTAAGGTGGAGATCATTCTTCCTGCATAATTTCTGTTTCCAAAAGGTTAGGCTGCCTCTAATAACCTTCATCCCATCCTTTCTTCCATGTGTCCATATTAGACTGTTTTTGTATCCATGCGTAACTCATTACCCATGTCTAGCTGACATTATCTGGCTGGTGACATTTCAGATAAAGCTCTCACACCGGCACTGACAGGTCTTTCTAATTTATATTTACTTCCAAGACTCAGCTCTTCAGTTTTCTAAGTTGCTGGTGGTGTTATGTAAGGCTGTCACTGGCTTCTTCCCATTTTTAAAAACTGCTTATCTTCTTCCTGGAATCTGACACTTCTGCACCCACTGGGCAGATTAGTCACACACCTAGCTATCTGGTTTCTGAATGAACGAATCCCCTTCTGTCAGAAGAGGGTTTTGTCTTCCATGTTTCTAATGCACCAACCACTGTAGTTGTAGACACCACTTTTATGTTGATGCTCAGGGAATTATCTTCTGTTTCTCCTTCTGAGAAAAAAAAGTTCCTCCATCCTTCCTTGGTTGTCTTCCATCTCAACATCACTGGATGATCACAGTAGCTAACCTTACAGGATTGTTACCAGGTAGTCTGATGACAAATTGATCCTTAACTCTTCTAAAGTAACTCATTTAATGTATTTTTAGAATCTTTCATTTTGTAAAAGTCAGTAAGGGCAAAATGATCTTTAGAAAGTTTTTCTTAAATAAATTGTGTTGTCCTGTATGAAAGAATTCATCTTCATACAACTAGTAGAAAAGATCTGAAATAGCTTCTGTTTTTTGTCATATCATAATAATTGATCAAGTCCTATCCTTTAAGTCTACATTACTTTCCAAACAATTAAACTTGAATTTTGCATTGTAACTCTGTTGTAATAAAGCAGGAAACTCTGGAAACAGAAGCATGACATTTATACTAATCATGGAGGAGGAAGCATGTTTTCAGTCTCACGGATACATTTTACTATGAATACCGTTTAAACTAGATTTTCACTGTCTCCCACTGTTTACTCCTGGAAATGCACTGCATTGATTCTTATCCCCAGTGAAGCAAACTTGCTGTTTTGTTAGGCTGTCAGTTAAGTTAACTTGATCGTAGATCTTCTTACACTTAGAATATAGCTGTACATGTCCCATTGCAGATTCGTGATCAATTTTTGATCTTTTACTCAGGGGAGAATACCTGCGATGCTGCAAGTTCTGTTATCCACTATGTGCTTTTGTCATTCTGGCTGCTTGTGTGGTAGCTTGCGTTGGCTTAGTATGGATGCAGGTTGCCCTCAAGGAAGATCTGGATGCACTAAAGGAAAAATTTCGAACTAGTAAGTATATCAACCTTCTTAAACTGAATAACTTAGCTGTTTTTTACCCTAGCTGTTGGGAGAAGGTAAGCTGTGCGTAATATAACATACTATCCTGTGCTTCAGATTGTCACAAGACAAGGTCTGGATAGACAAGGTCAGAACCTCAACTGTCTACTTGTTTTTATGGAGATTTGTATACATCTTTTTTAGAAACAAAACCTGAAAATGGTTCTCAAAAATAACCAGACGTGTATGGTCTGTGGACTGTTAAAGATTAACATGATTGCAGCACTGTTTTTAAAAAAAATAAAATAAAAATCAAACTTTCCAAGTAGTCTTAAGGGATTTTAACACATCTTTCATTAAAGTTAATGGAAGATGTGTGAAAATCCCTTTGGCTGCTTTAAAATAACTCAACTTCTTTTCATGTCTTTGAATTCTGCCGGTTATGTACTGCTTTAGTACAACTTTGGCTATTTCTGTGTATCTTTCTAAAACCTGTAACTCATTACTTTCATTTGAAATTGCTCACTCCAGGACCCATTTTTCTCATTATTTATCTTCATCTCTTGTTTAAAACTGATAGTTGATAATTCTGTACTTGAGGCATTCTGCTTATTAGTGTGAGTCTTGCTTTGTTCACTCATACAAGGTTGACACAGTTGCAGCACGATCAAATCACATCCCTGTGCACAGACCTCCCTCAAACAATTAAGCTTGTCCCCCCCAAAGGGACATTGCTGGAAAACCAGAGTATGAACCCTCACATGGCAAGAAATACAGAACTATCTTGTTACTGTTCATTTGTATTACAGTAGTGCCTCAAGTTCCCAGCCAAGTTCTGGGCCATATTGTACTAGGCGCAATGTACAAAACCATAGAAGACAGTCCCTTCCTCAAGGAGCTAACAATCGAAATAGACAAGACAGATGAGAGAGGAAATATTATTATTCACGTTTTGCAGATGGCACAGAAGTGCCCTGGCAGGGTTGGGAATTGAACCGTGATCTCCTGAGTCTCAATGAAGGGCTGTAATTACAAGACCAGTTTTCCTTTTTGTTCTGTTGGGGTTTATTTTTATTTTAACAGTTTCTCATTGTTGTTCCTATTGTACATTCCTGATGTTGCATTGGGAGTATGCTCAGTAAACTGCTTCTGATAACCAAAAACACTTCTGCTTTACTTTTGTTATAATTACAGAGAAACACAGATTTTTATGGGCATGTTCTTATAACATGAACATATCTCTTAATTAGTGTTTTCCTTTTGCTTTAAATGGTAGGTGGTGTATTTTTTATAATTGAGCTTGTATGCAAAGTGGACATGATCATTTCTGCCATCGATGTCTGAAGCAGCTTTGTGTAAGAAAAAGGATTTCATACTTATGATTTTTTTCAGTATGATACTAAGAAAATTGAAATGAAAAATCTCTTGTAACTTCAAATAGGTTTTTTTTTTAATCTGACAACTTTTCACTAAAGAGACATGGTTGGTGAGGTAATAACTTTTATTGAACCAACTTGTGTTGATGCGAGAGACAAACTTTCGAGCTACACAGAACTCTTCTTTGGGTCTGGGAAAGGAACTCCAAGCATCACAGCTAAAAACAAGGAATCTGTTCCACCTTGTATTTAGCTGTGATGCCTGGAATGCCTTTCCCAGACCCGAAGAATAGCTCTGTGTAGCTCGAAAGCTTGTGTCTCGCATCACCACAGGTTGGTTCAATAAAATATATTACCTCTCGCCCACCTTGTCTCGAATATCCTGGGACCAACATGACTACAATAACACTATGCCTTTCACTAAGACAGTTTCAGGTCAGTTGTCAGTAGTGATGCTTAGAATTTATATAGTACTTAATCTTCAAAGCATCATTCAGGCTTTAAATAGGTCACTTAAATGCATAATAATAAACACATGAAAGTGGGGGAATCAGTAGCATTCGTTAATGTGAAAAACTTTTGCAGGGTTTCCTGGTATTGTAAGTAGGAGTGGGAGGACAAGCCATCATATTTCAATGTGAGCTCTTAAAGTGAAAAGCATAGAAATGCAAAGGACTCTGTCAGACTGTTTAGGTAAAAACATTTACTTTCTTTCTAAAGCTATTTTATAAATACCTGATTTACCTATAAGAGCTTCTGAATAAAACACTGTTTGGATCCTGAGGAGTCCATACAGATCTATTATAATCCTTGATCAGGACCCAAAAATATTTTTTCTTTAAACAAGTTATAAAAAGTAATTTTTTTTATAAAAGCTACTTAAATATTGGTATATTTTTGAGCCCAAAGAAATAGGCAGTTAAATGTGGGAAGCAGCCTTTCAGGATGAGGAAAGTGTGGGACTAGAAAACAGAAGTGTAGTGGGGCTACCACCCTTTAGGGCTTTAAGGAAGCCCAGCACATCAGCACAGCATATAGCAATCAAGTACATTTATTTTCCTTGGAGAACCATATAAAGTCAATGGGAGTGGCTGTTCTTAATTTACTTACTTTCCTTTGGGCCCTTTTAAAAATCCCCATCTTAAATTCTAAATAAAAAAGTAGCTTTCCTGTAGATCATAAATCCACAGGATTCATTGCACTATTCTTTCTTTAAAGGTGTGCTGTTTACTCTTTATTTACAAATTTCTCTTTAGTCAAGGAATTTTCTGTTTGCCAACTTGTTTTACAAGCAACTTTTAGCGTGTAAGTACATGCATTTTTTTGTAAAGGGAGCTTACTCTGTTCAGTACTCCAAGTTCCTTCAAGTGATGTGAAATCACCCTAATCTTTTTGGAATATTCTTCATAGTCAGCAGTCACTCTGTATGTTTGAATTGGGGATTGGAGTTAATTTCATATGCTGCTACTGTGAGAGTACAGTTCCTGGCAGTTCTCATCACTTACTCATTTTGCACAGTTTCTTTATTACATTAGTTATTGTATATGCTCCCAACTATGATGTAATAAGAAAATAGTGCAAAATGATTGGACTACCTGAAGAGATTCTAAAGATTATCAGAAATAACCATAATATGAAGATACTGTAAAGTGCCAAACATAGTAGACTCTCTAATTTTTGGCATTCTCCAAGCATCATGTGTTGGATACTGTTGGACCAGGAGCTATCAATTTAAATCAACACTCTATTTCTGGGTTGATTCTGAATATAGGAGGATTATACAGTGGAGAATGTTACTTGCAATGTTCTTCAACTACTGTAGATGTCACTGGCTACAACTTGAGTTTTAGCTTGTATAATTTTCACATCTTAGTCTGTTTTGCAGGATTACTCAATTTTTCATTTCTTTTTTAGTGGAATCTTACCAAAAAACATCATTCCAAGAGATCCCCAAATTAAATGATGATCTGCTTGATAAGCAAAAGCACCTTGAGAAAATAGAGACTGGAGACATGGGACTAAATAAAATTTGGATAAATATCACTGAGATCAATAAACAGGTAATAGGAACAAATGTTTGACAATATTTCACAAAATATTTTTCAATATTAATGTTTTAAATCAACTCTGCCTTCTTGACTTTACTGTGTGTTTACACTTCATATGGAAGTAAGAATGAAAATGAACTGTCTGATACTTACAAACATGCTAGCACTCTTCTCTAAAGACTTAATATGAGAAGTTATGTAGATGTAGGTTTAAATTTTCAAAGCTGACTAAGGGATTCAGACACCACTCCCTGTATTTTTTTCATGGCACATACACAGCAAAATGCCTTAGCTTTGAAAATCTCAACCAGAGCACATTACAATGGATCAAAAATAGTGACTGAATATCATTCATCTGGGAGGAAGTTTAAAGGAGACAGCCTAAGGTTGACATTGCTTCATCTTTGTGACAGTGATAATTGTGCAACTTGTCCCTAAATACCTGACATGAGGGCAGCCCCAAGTGTGAGGGGGCTGTCGGAGGTGGGAATTAGCATACCTAATTACATCAGAAGCTGGGGGAATGAAAGATACCTAAACTGCAATCTGTCTCCTGTTTATAGTATTGCAAAGGCAAATAAAGAACTCAATGCCTCTATTACCGTGTTTCCCCGAAAATAAGACAGTGTCTTATATTAATTTTTGCTCCCAAAGATGCGCTAGGTCTTATTTTCAGGGGAGGTCTTATTTTTCCTGGAGCTTCGGGGCCTTATATTCCGGGGTGGCCTTATTATCTGGGAGGTCTTATTTTCAGGGGATGTCTTATATTACAGCGAGAGGCAAAACTGGAAGTAGGTCTTATTTTCGGGGGATGTCTTACTTTCGGGGAAACAGGGTAGTATATAACATACTAAAAAAACTGAGTCAGTTCTCAGCGGGTATAAATTGTGGCTCCATTGAACTCGATGGCACTAAGCCAGTTTATACTAGCTGAGGATCTGAGCCTTTGAGTTTTATCTAATTTTAATCATAGTTTATTAATAAAACTGGCAAATAAGAATCTTAGTGAAGATAAAGGTACCTTTTGTTGGCAAGATGGAGATTTAGATTCAGTCAGTGAAACTGATTGTTTTCAAAAACAATTTAGCATTGGATAAAGTCTTCACTTTGAGTCAGATTTTTAAAGGTATTTAGGTGCCTAAAAATGCAAATAGGTGCCTTCTGGGGTCTTTAAATTTTAAATGTCCACGTAGGCACCTATCTGCATCCTTAGGCACCTAAATACCTTTAAATTTGGCCTTTTGGCACTAATCACTTCCAAGTTTTCAATTATTTTATAGCTGGCCACTTCAGGCCAGTCTGATAGTCAGCCTAACTTCCCACTAGGGCCTGGTCTACACTAACCCCCCAATTCGAACTAAGGTACGCAACTTCAGCTACGTGAATAACGTAGCTGAAGTCGACGTACCTTAGTTCGAACTTACCGCTGTCCAGACGCGGCAGGCAGGCTCCCCCGTCGACTCCGCGTACTCCTCGCGCCGAGCAGGATTACCGGAGTCGACGGCGAGCACTTCTGGGTTCGATTTATCGCGTCCAGACAAGACGCGATAAATCGAACCCAGAAGTTCGATTGCCTGCCGCCGAACCAGCGCGTAAGTATAGACAAGCCCTTGGAGACATACAAGGGATTTACTAATTTCTGTCACGGCCAGCCTACTGCTAAACCAGTATCTATGCCTTTCCTCAGCTTGGGAAGCTGCATATATTTTTACAGGAGCAGGCTGAATTTATCTGTTTAACAACTGGATTGTCGAATGGAAGGACTTTGTACTTTGTTCACTTCAACTGCAGAGAAGTGTAAACTGCTTTTAAAGTGATATGTTTAGCAAATGACCACAACTTGTCAATATTTTTACTTGCTAATTGGCAATTTTGTAACTTGCATAGATCATATTTATAAGCCAATTTGAATGAGTTAATCTTTTTAATTACTCAACTTCTGGTGCATTATTTGTAACTAATTTTTGAGCTAAACTGTTTTGCACAAATTCTTAGTTCTGCTTTCAGAACTTACATCCGTTAGTCTATAAGGTGCCACAGGACTCTTTGTTGCTTTTCATAACTTAGTTTTTCAGTGTGTTATGTATGTAGCTCCCTTTTTTTTGTAGCTGTTTGAAGCGCATATTAAGGGAAGGACAGACAGGAAAGTTGAGCATTTTGTTGTATCAGATACTGTGAATAAGCAGGCTAACCAATATGGAACTAGATGATAGTGCATTTATTTTGTTGGTCTCTTAAAGGAAATGAATTGTATAGCAATGGGCAAATACAAATTGAAAAAAGTTGTTGAAAACAAATATATAGGCTTTAGTTCCTATGATTCTTACAAATAGAGCAAAGTTTTAAACGGAATGTAAGCAGTAGTACTGATGTCTCATGTAATAGAGCTCTTATATAGGCCAACTTATAGTATTAGTTGTATGTCAGTTGTGTTCAGTGTAGTAGTCTATTTCTTAGTTAATTTGACACCCCCCCCTTAAACTAGAATCAGAGCTCCTCACAATCTTTAAGGTGTTTCTCCTCTCAACACCCCTGTGAAGTAGGATGGGCACTTATCCCCATTGTACAGATAGTGAACCGAGGCCCAGACTGAGTGACAAGCCCAAGGTCACACAGGAAGTCTGTGGCAGAGCTGGAATTGAACCTGGGATTCCCCAATCCTAGGCTGGCATGCCAACCACTGGGCCATCCTTTTTTAGCTCTTCTTTTTCAGGTGACTGCCAAGTAAAATAAAGTACTTAAAATATCTTACAATATTATCAAGGTGTACAATGTCATATTTGAGAGTTCACTGAATAGTGAAAGTGCAAAAATATCCAGTTTGGACACTTCTGTTAAGGTTTTGCATTTAAAAAGTTTCTATTAATAAAAAGGCATTAAGATTCTTTCCTTTTTCAGGTGTCAGTGATATGAATAAAGTAACACAGTAGAGAAGATACTTCTTCATAGGTCCTATTTTCAGGCACTTGTATCTCATCCAAACGATCAGTTTCTTATGCTAGTTCCCAATCCTGATTATTATAATTTAATCAGATGTTAGTACCACAAAAATGACTTTCCATGTCTGTCTTGTATGCAGATTTAATATGAAGGAGAAAGGAGGGTAGCAATCCATCCAAACAGAAGCAGTCTAAAGAGTGAAATTAACCTGATATATACACCACAAATTCTCTTTTGCAAATTCTAAGGTTTGTGGTAAGGATTTTCCTGTGACTTGCAGGGCCCAGGCTGATTAAATTCTTGCATTTTGTTTTATGAGATGGCATTAATAGTGTTAGAAACATCAGCCATTCCACATCTCCTTGGTGGTGAAGACTGGTTAGGCTAGGGATTCGGTGCACTTTCAAGAAAAACACATGGCCTCAAGCAGTTGCATGTGTTGAATGTCAGTCATAAATTAAAGTCAGTCATTAGGGGTGCGGAAGATTGAAATAAAGTTGCTGTGTTTACTAATTCTAAATACTTTTCTCTGTTTTTTAGATATTGTTTTTGACATCAGCAGTAAATCACCTCAAAGCCAACATCAAGTCTGCTTCTGACTTGATTACTCTTCCTGTTACTGTAGAGGAACTTCAAAAGGTAAGTATTATAAATATGGCTTTTAGTGAATATCACACTAACTCTAAACTGTAGCTGATTGGCTAGTTTCCAAATATTTCTGCAAACAGCAGTAACTACCAGAATCTCTCAAAGATCGTACGCCTCTATGAAATACTGTTAGCTTGTGTTCATTTCAGTGGAGCACCTTTAGTGTCACGCTCAGTGATCCTTACTTAATGCAATCTAGAATATGATTGAGAATTCTCTAGATGCATTTTAATTGGTAAAACGATAAATATATCTCTCGTGAAATGGTTACATCTTTATGTTGGTTTTATATGTATATTACCATTTGCGTTGGTAATCTTCCTCCATTCACATGTACATGAAAGTCTTGGCTTTGTTTTATAACCCTTACAACCCTAAATCAATATTTATTTAGCTTTCTTTGGTAGGAAATGGAAGCAGATCATTTTTGGAAAACCTTCTTAAACTTCAGAAGTAGTGTAATTCTCTGAATGGTTTATTTTTATATTAACATGTAGAAGTGCAGAAACTTAGTGTCATTTATCCAATAGGCTGAAGTGACAATATGAAAGCCCTCAGGGTATTGTGTTTCCAGTATATGCATAGTGAAATTCATTATGAAAAGTGGTCAGCGTACACATACTAATCAGAATTTCCAAGTACAGATCTGCCATTTTATGTTAATTGTTTTCATAAAGCTATTAGCTGACTAAATTTAAATTGATTGGTAAAAGTATCTTTGGAATTATACAAGGCAAAACTATCTCAGCTACTTTTTATTTTAAATTTTCACTGCTTTTAACTCTTTAAAGGTAACAAACACCCCCCCCTCTTGTACTCAGAGTTCTTGGAGAGCAGGGTTCAACGTGTAGAGAATATTTCCAGGCAGTTGATACACTTGTTTCCATCTAGCTAGTCTTTCAAGAGGTTAACTGTACATGGACTTAACTATTATAGTGGTGGTTTCTGTGGCACACGCTTTAGCTGAATTTTCTTTCAAAAAGAGGAGCTGGCTTGTTCCCTGGGTTAAGCAAGTGGTTGCCTAAACTTTCCCAAGGTCTGCATTAGCAGTTTTGTTAGAAGGAAATATTTCTATTATGGCAATACCTAAAGGCTACAGATGGAATGGAACCCCATCGCGCTGACAGTATCTAAGTGGAAGACTTACAGTCTACAGACACTGAGTAAAGGTCAAAGATGGGGATACAACATACAAACAAATTAATATAATGAAGAATTGGCACAGCGTGGTTGGTTACATTGTAGGGGTTTTGTTTTTTAATTGAGGTTAGAGATAGGTGTAGGGATTGGGAAAGAAGGGGAAAAGGAGAATATTCATAGCTAGTCACATGATTAGGAGACTCTGTTTTGTAGGCATTATATCAGAGAAGTCTTAAAGTAATTTTCTAGGAGCCCAAGGGCTGCACCTAGTTTGCATAAAACAGAAGATTGCAGTCTCCCCAGATTCACCACCACCGATTTTAATCTAGAACTGTGGTCTGTAGGGCTACAGGTTACAGCATGCAATGCTCCATTTTTGAGCTGAATGACAAGGCTGTATTTCATACTGGAACAGGTGATGCTTGGCCACATCTCACTAAAGTTGAAGCCCAGCTGACCGTATGATGGAACTTTGGGAGCTGAACTGGGTTAATGAATGGCACTATTTCCAGCCCTAAGCTAAGGTATTAGAAATAGTGGCATCCATTTTCACTCTTCTCCCGGATATCCTCTTGCTTGCACTCTTATATTTGGTAAGCGCAGTGTAAAATTGGAATCCTGCCAGGAAGTACATTATGCCTTAACTTTATTTTTACAGAAAGTGCTAGAAAAACACTATGTGGAATTAAATAAAATTGTTTAAATTGTTTTTAGGTTTGAAAACTAAAAAAATGGTGAAATTCTTACCTTAAAGCTTGGTGTCCCTTCACCCCCCACTATATGTTTTTGAACACTCTTGTGGAAAAGAAGCATATGTGGAGCTTCTTCATTGTTGTCTTTGGGTGTTGCCTTGTTTGCTAGGGAAACTGCTACTACCCCCTGAATTGGATTTAAAAATATTTTTAAGCCTCCTCCTCCATTGCAGTTAATGTCTCTGAAAGCAATGAGGAGCCTTTTTATGCTGTTAAACAAGCCTGAAGAATTCCTTTACTGTATCAGAGTTCCCCCTGCAGCAGGGCACCTGGTTATGGGGAAGTGTTGAAGGCACTGTTGCTACAGCAGGACAGCTGGGGTCCTGACTTCCATAAGAGTGGAGGGGGATGTATGCTGTATGCTTGTATTGGGATTTACAAGAGGAGAAAATGGTCAAGTTTCCTGAGAGTTGAAGGTGGATAATGAGGTGCCTTAGTGGATATTTACAGGGAGCTCCTCCTCCTCTGTATGAGTTGCTACCTGGGAGAAGCTTGTTTGAAAATCTAAAAAGTGGGGTCATTGGCAGAATGGAGATGGGGTCAACATCTTAATAGGATACAAGGGAGAACAGGCCATGATGGGGCTTAAAAGCGAAGATTAATGGTTCATATTTGGTGTAGGGATGCTGATATTAAAACTGCACACAGAAAAATTAGATTACTTTTCATCTAAGTACTGCCCAGGAATACTTAGATTCCTGCAGGAGGAGCATGCCCCTATATATCCCCTTAAATCACCCACATGAAAAATGGAAGAATACATGTGGATGGAGGTTATATTAATCTTCCTTGTTGGCATCAAAACATTTTGAGCAAAGACTAAGGATAAAATAACTATTATAGTCTGTAAATGCAAATCTGAACCCTCCAGTTCATCACTTCGGTTTCTGGCAATCTGGCTGCGTGGCATTTAATTAACAAAACATTGTTTTCCAAGTTGGTCTTTCAGATTCAGCAGTTGAGCACAGCGGAAATTTATTAGGTTGCTATTTCTGTTTTCAGAGCGTAGCTACTATTGGTAGCACTCTAACCAGTGTTGCTCATGATGTTGAGGCTATGCAGGCGGCAATTGAAGAACACAAGAAAACCACAGAGAGGCTCCAAAATGATTTGGTAAGGACAGTACTAATTTAACAGAGTTAAATATTAGCTACATAATCTGTAGTAAAGCTTAATGTGAACTCTACCAAGTGCTGTGTAACTTGAAAAATAATAAATAGTTAAAGATCTCTGCAAGATGCTGGCTAGTATAATAAAATAGCTAATAGCCGTCATGTGACATCCATTCTACAGCAATGAGAGCATATTTTCTTGAGGGCAAAATCTCGGTAGGTTTGCAAGACTGGAAATAGTGGTTGCCCACTATGAGTGGCCGTCTCAGGAGGGCTTTATGCCACCTACGTGCTGCAAAGTACAACTTATTGTGGCTCTCGGAACAACTGGAGAGCAGTTGAGATTGTGGTTGTGTTGGGAGTGTGCTGGAGTGAACAAGCGCATGGCCCATATCAAGGTGCATGCATAAGAAATACAGGTTCATGAATCCCAGCTGAAACTCTCAAATAGCTGAACCTTTAGAAATCTTAATTTACTTTTAAACATTCAGTCTTTCTGCCACAGTGGGAACGTTTGTAAACTAACTTCTCCTGCTGCAGCAGGAAACACTTCAAGAACACCATAATGCTAATTGATTTGTTCACTTCTACTAATCCTATTTTTCTTTTATAGCAGGGTTAACTCTCTAACACTGACAACCAGGGATTCTTTGTGCTATGTATTGGAAAATAATTGATGCTGATTCTAAGAAACTATGCAGTTCATTCATAATTTTTCTTAACTGAAATGTATATCACGTGCATGTGTACTTTGAATGCTGCATGTGACAGGGAAAATGGCTGATGTATGGCTGCTATTTTAGTGAAACTTAAGTCTGGACCCTACCTATTTAATAGAACAGAAATAGTGCACTGTGCTTTGTACTAGCATACTTAAAATATTCCATGCACAACCAACCTATGGTTCAAAATGTGTAATTCTTGCAGATATTTTAGTAAAATATCTGAAGTTATGTCTACAATCTTTGTCTAGCCTCAAGAGTTTCATAGATGTAACAAAATATTTATTATTGCAACTTCTGCTTCTTTTGTCAGAATGAATACATTAAAGAAAATGGAGAAAAACAGGTCTCTTCACTTTCCACCACTGTCAGTCCAAGAATTAGCAATAGAAATCAGACGGAGAATTGTAAACAGGTATTTATTGCTTTGCCATTAAATGCCAGCAGCATTGCAGTGGGTAAAAGTACAATTAATATTTTCCCCTAGGCTCTTCAATATTGTAGTATGATACTATGAAGTTTGTTCATGTCAAGGTTGAATTTGAATAGAATCCATGTACGTGAGTGTACTGCAAAGGCTTAGTAAGTGGTGGTTGAACAAGTTAAGGGTGTATCTTGTAGTAGAAGTGTGACTAATGAGTTAAGGACTTGAAATAGAGCCTGGCTTTAATGTCAGGTACTTGCCTGTCAGCTTGAGCAAGAGAGGGAGAGGCAGGTGATGAGTCATTCTGAAGGTGGTAAAGTACAGAAACAGGGCTTTGGAAAAATGAGTGAATTGGACATATGACTAGACAGAAATACCTTGGGATGGGAGTGAAACCAGTGTTTGTATTTTTAATACAAACAGTGCCAACTTCAGAAGTAAACCTTGTAGGAACAATGCCTAGTGCTTAAGCTTTTTGTCTAATACAGTAATTGGTATTGTGCCTAAGGTAACTTGCATTGAAAAATTAGGTTAATGCTCACTTCAGTTAACTGCATGGCACCTGTTGTAATCAGAGTATTCATTGGCAGCAATGAATTTTAGCACTAGGAAATCCCATTTTCAAACAGCAAAGGCTAAAGTGACTCACTCTAGTCTTCCTCACTGTCAGGCAATTCCAAATACACAGTAGTCTGTGTGGCTCTGAGGCCCTTTGGAGAAGGATACTTGGTTGAACTGGGCCACTCACTGTTTCATTAACTGAAATAATGCTGTGGCAGTGTTTCCAAACAATAGTAGTGGGATAACACAACTTATTCTCTTTTTATTTCAGGATAACCAGTTCCTGCACGCCAAGGTAGAAGAGATAAATGCTTCCTTAGTGGCGTACCAAAAGCTCAATGATCTAAAGCTTCTAAATGTGGATACAGCAATCAGTAATATAACTCAAAGGGTGACATGGCTAGAAGACTCTGTGGTTGCTGTGAATACGTTGGAAAACAGAGCGAATTTGTCCACTAGTGCGGTAAGTGTTCAGTGACCATGGGTGCCTACTTGCCTTGTAGGGTACTTGAGTGGCCTAGGGTGCTTCCTGTGCAGCAGTCCTAGTCTGCAAGAGACTAGGGAGGCCTTTCACTACACTGGGGATGGCCTAAGCCAGCGGTTCTCAAACTGTGGGTTGGGACCTCAAAGTGGGTCACAGCCCCATTTTAATGGGGTTGCCAGGGCTGGTGCTAGAATTGATGGGCTGAAGCCGAATCCCCTGGGTGGCGGGGCTCAGGTTACAGCCCCCCTGCCTGGGGCTGAAGACCTCTGGCTTCGACACCCGCCACCCCGGGTGGTGGGGTTCGCGCTCAGGCTTTAGTCCCCCTTTCCAGGGTCCTGTCGTAATTTTTGTTGTCAGAAGGGGTCGCAGTGCAACGAAGTTTGAGAACCACTGGCTAACATAAAGGAAATGTGTCAAGCTGATGCTTTGGGAGGCTTAATATTTAATTTTAAAGGAAGTTGGAAGTTTCAGCTGCTGTTCAGGTATCTTAAGTGGCAACCTTAAGAACAGTTGTGTGCTGAAACAGAGACCGTTCTTCCACCACCCCATTGAGAATCTAGGCCAATCCCTGAATGCTCCTACCTAGGACTGCCTCTGTGATAGGGTTTTCCAAGTGTGTGCTATACAGTAAGGGTATGCTGATGCTACAGTGTGTAGGAATTTAATTGTATAAGTCTCATTAACATTAAGCCATGCAGATAAATTTCAGGGCTGAAATTAAATTTTAGGACGACATAATGTAAGATTTCCAATGCCATATTTGAAATTTGCATTTAAATACACTGCATAATACCATCTTGATCTGCAGGGTCTTGGTGGTTTATTGGAAAGTAGAACATGTGGCCAAGTCCATGCAGGAGATCCTGCAGAAATATGTTTCACATAGTGTGGTAACCAGAATTAACCTCTTAATATTAATGTGGTTCTGGTGTATACTTGTTGTAAGTTTGATTCTGTTTTACTGCTACATGCATGCCCAGTTTGAAGGAAGCAATCTTCATTACAGAAGACTTTAAGCAAATGTCTAAGCTCTAATACGCTCACCTTTTTCTTCAGGTGGGTAATACAACTACCTCCCCAAAAGTGGAAAGTCAAGATCAACCAGAGAATGAAACTGCTACAGAAAAAGCACAGAATGCAAAGGTAAGTAGAGGAAACTAAAATCAGTGTTGATTAGTAGATCATGCTATTAGTCATGCTAAGTCACATTTATTTGGGTCACTCTGATACTAATACATATTTTCAAAGACAATGAGGTAGCAAAGTAACTTTCCCACAACATTATGTGTGCAGGAAATGAGTTAAGATGAAAGTAAAACTAGTAATAGGGTAAGACCCTGCCATCTTGAAATCTGTAGAAGCAGCATGCACATGAGTAAAAGCTGCAGGATCCAGGCTCCCAGTAACTACATCTCCCTCTGTAACTTGCCAAGATAGCTGCATTCAACTGGGATATTGCAACTGAAGGAGCATTGATGGAGACTGAGGGGCCAGGGGCTGGGTCTTCTTGGCAGACAGCCCTTGGCACATCAACTCCTTACTAATAGACATCAGGACAAGCCTGGCATGTTTTGTGGCTCAGTGAAAGCCTTCCCCCTCAAGTAACAAACTCTAAAGACTAACTGGGAGCATCTCTAATAGACAAACAAAAGAACACTCTGATTAAGTAACAGCAGCTGAAGTGTTGTGGGTGGGAGTTATTATTTCTGGAAAACAGTTTATTCCTTTGTATTCAGTATATAAATAGTGTTGGAGGGTAGTTGGATGCATCGAATCATAGAATATTAAGGTTGGAAGAGACTTCAGGAGGTCATCTAATCCAATCCCCTGCTCAAAGCAGGACCAACACCACGCATAAAAAATGCTTGTGCACTGGTTTAAAAAAAAACACCTGTGATCTGAGTGATGCTTGCTGAAGAACAAATACCTTCAGTAACCCTGTTTTTGTGACTTTACGTAATCTTGACTTACATGTTCAGTCTGTGAAGTAAGGGCCAGAGAATGGATAGACTGAGCAAAGAGCTTGAAAGGGACCATGTGATAAAACTTGACTTAAATACTCTTAAAAGGAGTTCAGATGGATGAAATAATTCCCAAGATGTCCTAAGATTCAGTGAGTTATTCCGTGTTACATTGGGAAAATATAGTAAATGGAGGCTTTAGTCAATATATTAGACACCTTAAATTTAGATACAAAATAGTGGTAAATAAAGCACTGGGAAAAAGTTTTTGTTTAGAAACAAATAATGCAAAAAATTTTTGCCGGTTGTTTTAGATTCAAGTTCTGGTATTAGAGACTAATGGGTTGCACAGGAGTGAACTTTGGGATATAGTTCCCTGAAGATTTTTTTACCTTCTTAATCAACTAAAACTTACTTGGCCTGGAAGTATGTAGGCTAAAAGTTTACAGATCTGTTGTAAAGTGAATTCTCTTTACCTGCTGTGCTGTACCTGGTGAAGAAAGGTTGCTTTTAAGAAATATTTTCCTGTTGCTTTGTGCAGAAAATAGAAAATGTAGATCCTCAGGTATCAAAACTAAGAGAGAAGCTTCAGCTGATCAATGCTCTCACAAGCAAGCCAGAAAATGAAAGATCTCTTGAGGCATCAATAAAAGGTGGGAATATTGTAGTAATTGTATAATTCAGAGAATAAGTAACAAAGGTGAATAATTAATATTTTCTTAAGATATGAATGAGTCTTCTTTAAAATAGTAAGAAATTGATGGTACTAAAACAGAACTCTTGCTTAGAGTTCAAAATATAACGTGGAGAAATTAAGTGAGGTTTCCCATTGTGCTTAGAAGGACCCCTACACTTATGCTGTGTAGCATTTCCATTTATGTAGATAAATATGTAGAAGCAATACAGGCAAGGAATGAAATGTTGTTTATCATCAGGGTCTGTTAAACTATCATATAGTAAATTTTATCATTTTAATACTAATTGGTGCTCAGTAGCTGAATTAAGTGTACTGCTTTTTCAATAAAAGTTAGTGCTTCTGAAAGTTTAGCATAATGCCAACAAGAGTTACAGCTGTACCACTGCACTTCAGTCCTGAACTTCAGTATCTCTGCTATTCTGGTCCTGAGTAATACCAAACGTGTGTCAAATGGCCACTCTTTACTGTAGTAGAACCTTGCTAATTCTCATCTAATTGGTAAACTTGACAGTTCCTTCCAAAAAAAAAGGCTCCCCTCACTTACTGGGAAAGAGATAAGAGGGTTAGTGAGACCTACGTAGGAATTGCCATGCCAAATCAGGCCAATGGCCGATCTCCAAAAAATTTAGCACCAGATGATCTAGAGGAAGGTGCAAGAAACCCTGAAGTGGACAATTATGGTATCTAGCCATTAGGAAATGTTGTTCTTTAACCCCCTCAGCTAGAGAGCTGCATATGCCCTGAAGTGCACTCATACTGCAAGTGTTTGTTCTTTTCACAGTGTACTAATGTATATTTCCTAGCATAGCATGAAGTATTAAGACCACATAATTGTTTTACAAAATGTACTTAGGTGAAATATCCTATAGGATGGCTTGTTTGCTTACTTGTGGTTTCTCGAAGTTAAATCTCTAATGGGCCTCCCTACTAGTAGTGAGATATAGCAAAATCTTGTTACATGTTGAAACTAGCAAACCACCCCATAGTACATTTGAACCTAGTTTTTGTAAGGCAAAAAGTCTTTGTACCACTGGTCTATCTTGTCCCAGGCTATTGCTGTTGATTTTAATTGTGTTAAAATTTATAAAACTAACATAAAATAACTTCTAACAGGTGGAAAAATGCAGACTGCTACATCAAAGCCTACAAATCTTCCACAACTTTTATCAAGATCACTTGGAGGCAACATGGAGAGAAATGGACACCCAAGGCGCTTGTCAATACCAGGAATTGCCACCATAAAAGGTACATCTTGGTTTGCCTTTGATTTGCATAGTCTGCACTTACAGGAAGTGTTTAACAGACCATGAATAGTTGTGGAATAACATAGCTGAGGCAGAATATGGGACAGTAGTTCTGGAAATGGAACGTATAGAAAGTATGTTGACAAGTCCAACAGAAGGAAGGATAGATGGAAGAAGACGTGCTTAGTGATTTGGAGGAGAAGGGGTATTTGCATGAAATGGGAGAAATGTTTTGAGTGTAAGGTATATCATGAAAGATACAGAAAACGGTGGGGGAGAAGGGATAAGAGGAGGAGTGGAAGGTGTCAAGGGCACAGGATATAGCTGTAAGATGGAGCAAATTGGTATTTGGATAGAACTATTTCAACTCTTACGTTGGCAAAAATATAATGTTTTAGCTTCAGAAAATGTGCAGAGAATAACAACACTTGTCCCTCCATAAAAAGAACAGGAGTACTTGTGGCACCTTAGAGACTAACAAATTTATTAGAGCATAAGCTTTCGTGGGCTACAACCCACTTCTTCGGATGCATGGAAAAGTTGCCATTTCTGCTGATGCACTCTGCGGCAAGGTGAT